GAGTCCCCTCCTGGGTAATTCTAGGTTGTGTCAAGGTGACAATTAGAACTGACCATTACACCCAACCATTGTATGAATTCTTCTTTAAAGAGATAAAGGGAACAAAAACGGGAGACCTGGCATTAGCATACAGTTTGTAGGACTGGCCTTTGTATCTGGGAGTCACTGCACACTGTACAGTCTCTTTCTTCTGGTAGTTTAGTACTGTAAGAAATGGCGAGAACTTGTAGGGCATAGTTAGTGGTACATATCTTTAATCCCAGCACTTAGGAGACAGGCAGGTGGATCTCTGTGATAAAAATGAAAGGAGGGAGGAGGGAGGGAGGAAGGAAGGAAGGAAGAAAGGGTGGGTGAGAACTCATAAAAACACATGAAAAGGCTAAAGTCGTCATAACCCACAAACAGGCCACAGGCGCTTCACCTCCAACTGTGTGGTACGAGGGCATACATGATGTCCAGCTGTGTGAAATTACAGCTGGACTTGAACCTGGGCAGTTATTTTTCAAATGTTTACTAGGCAGCAAGCCTGAGACTATTAAATATTTCTACAGAATATCTCCTTCTGTCCTTACAGAAGTTCCATGACAAAAAGCATCAGTGTTGGCCCTATTTTGCTCCTAAGGAGACTTGTGTTATCTTAGGTAAGCTTCTAGAGCCAGTGAGAATCCATACACAGAGGCAATTGCTGTGGTTACCAAATGAGGAAATGTTAGCATCGGAACCTGAATCCTAGTCTTCTTGAGGACACAACCTATGATGTTAATAATCTCATTGCCTAGCCATGTTGACCGGTAATCAATTTCTTACGCAAGCTGAGGTTAATTCATTGCTCAAACGCCTCCCTGAGCCTCCCACACTCGCTAATTAATAATGATCACAAAAATGCATGCTGAATTTATATGGGCCTATTTTGTTATTCTTGGTGTTCCCCCATTAAAAGTGAGCAGCAGCACTTCCCAGTACATACGAATCTCTCAGTTTAGCCCCCACTTCATAATAAAGTAATTAAATAACGTGACTGGGGCTGAGGTGACTGTGGGTAAAATGTTTGCCACTAAATAGTGAGGACCTGAGTTTGATTCCCAAAATCCATATCTAAAACCCTGATTATAGTGGTAATCATAACCACATGCACACACAATAGAAGAGAATCAAGCTGACCAGGCCCAGGAATGGTTACTAGAATCTTCGTTAACTCACTTAGGAGTTAAAACAATTATTTTCCCTTTCAAAACAGAGAAAAATATCTCAATGACTGTGTCAGGGTATCCCAATCCTTGCCATGAATATAACGCAGGCTCCTCTGTCTGATCTTCCTTGTCATTTTAATTTGGAGAGTGTGGCCTTTCTGTTTAGAAACACTCACTGATGGAGTTGGAGTTGTGGCCATGGAAATGTCCGCCATCTTGACTCCTTGTTAGATTTTGGCCTTCTGAAGGACAGACTTAAGCCTATACAGTATGGTCAGTTTTCCCTGGAAGAGCTAAACCTTAGCACTGAATGTTTTTTTTTACCCAGTGTGTATGTGTGTGTGTGTGTGTGTGTGTGTGTGTGTGTGTGTGTGTGTGTATGGACATACATGTATACAGGTGTGTGCACCCATGTGAATTTTTGCTGAGCCTGGAGGAGGGCCTGTACTGTCACACTTGGCCTTATTCCCTTGAGACAGGGTCTCTAACCCTGGAGCTAGGCTAGGGGCCGGCAAGTCTCCGAATCTTCCTCCATCTCACACAGTACAGGGGTTCCAGGAACATGTGACCACACCCAGGTTTTTATCTGGGTGCTGAGGACTCAGACCTGGGTCATCACACTTACAGGGCAAGTGCTGTTACCTGCAGGGCCCTCTCCCCAGGCCGCGAATGCTTTCCTGTCTTGTGTCTCCCCTCCACGGTGAAGAACTCTATAGGGATGGAGTGGTAATGACATGAAGTCCTCAGAAAGAAAGGAGAGAGAGAGGGGGAGACAAAGAGAGGCTGGGAGAGGGAAGGCCATATGTAGACTCAGTGGTGAATCAGTAGAAAAAGCAAGTTGGCGCAGGTGAGGTGTGTGGTAGCGGAAGCCTTTGGTTGGAAATGGTGACTTTTCTCTGCCTGGATTATTGTCATTCAGCCCTTAGGTGTGCTATGGGACCTCCATACATGTGCTTTATTGTGCTGTCACAGGTAATTGAGTACACAGGAACCAAGAGAAAAATGGCTTCCTGGCAGCTGGCAGCAAACTGATACTTCACTGTTTCAAAGTCATGCGTCATTTCCTGTCATCTTAATTAGTGTGACAAGAAAACTCGTTTCCAAAAAATGGTGTGGTACCTGGGCGATGGCGGCGCAGGCCTGTAATCCCAGCACTCGGGAGGCAGAGGCTGGCGGGTCTCTGGAGGCCAGCCTGGTCTACATAGGGAATTCCAGGACAGACAGGGCTACACAGAGAAACCCTGTCTTGAAAAACAAAAGGAAGGAAGGAAGGGAGGAGGGGGAGGGGAAGGGAGGGGAGGGGAAGGAAAGGAAAGGAAAAAGGAAAGACAGTGTGGTGTTTGCTTGTGGTGTAATCGTCCTGCGAAGATAGTGAGCAAGGCTTGGGAGAATTAGTCCAGTGTTTATTATTTCATCTGTGTATATATATGGTGTGTGTATGTGTGCGTGTGTGTGTTCATACCTATGAGTGCAGGTACATGAATGCCACAGTCTGCATACTGAAGTCAGACAAAAACCTCAGCTGTCCATCCCCACCGTCAACTGTGTTTGAGACAGGGTTGCTGTTGTTCACCATTGTGTAATCCCAACTAGCTGGCCTTCGGGACCCTAAGGATTCTTCTTTCTCCGTCTCCAGACTCGCTGCAGGAGCCTGGGGTTGCAGCTGTGTGCTCCTGCATCCAGTTTATGTGGACTCTGGGAATCTGAGTTAGGTTCCGATGCTTACACAGCACCGAGCCATCTCCCCAGCCCCCTACGTGTGCATGTGCACTGAGATATTCTGGTACCAGTAGGGCATAATTGTTGGTACAAATTATTATTGATTAATTAAGTTTAGGTCATGTTCAAGTTCATCAAACAATAGCCTCTAATCCTGTAATTGTAGGTTCAGTTGGTTGATCTAAAGGAGGCACCCACCCCGGGGATCCTCCGTTTAAATGGATAAGCATCCGCTGCTCCCATTTCTTCCAAAGTTGTTTTTGACTATGTAGAGTTGAGGAGGCACCAGCACTGCTTGGCAAACCCTCATTTTCAGAGGTCAAGAAATACCGTGGGCTCCTCCGACAGTTCTGGTTAAACCTGCCAAGAGCCTGTCTGTCTCTGCTAGCATTTTCTTCTCAAAGTTGAAAAGAGTTGGGATGCCTGATGCTGTCCTATATTCCCAGCTGCTGGGGGGGGGGGGCGGGTGTTAGGCTCAGATCTGGGCCGTGGCAGCCCTGACGTGCCAGGTAGGTTCAGCCATCTTTCCTCAGTGGCTGTATTAAAGAGACCAGAGATAGTGGAGAGCAGAGAAAAGAGAGTTGCTAAGCCGGGCAGTGGTGGTGCACGCCTTTAATCCCAGCACTCGGGAGGCAGAGGCAGGCAGATCTCTGTGAGTTCCAGGCCAGGCTGGACTGACAGCCTCCAAAACAATACAGAGAAACCCTGTCTCGTAAAACCAAAAAAAAGAAAAAAAAAAAAAAAGAAAAGAGAGTTGCTTAATTGTGGCCACACTAGGGAGAGAACAAAGAGGTCTGGTGACTCACTCCCACATCATCTTTGGGGTCCTGACCCAAGGCTTAGGTTTAAACACAGAAGAGAGGCCTGTTCAAGGTGTGGTTCAGCCCATCACTGACCCATCTTTGTCTCGGCTCCAGTCTCTCCTGCAAGGTTGTCTGACAAGATGTCAGAAGGTGTGAAGTCTCTTCCTGGGAGACAGGCTCCTCCTTGGCTGACACCAGGCTTTGGCCTTTCTATCCTTTTAGTGGGGAATTCCAGTTCCTTGGGGCTCCTTGTTTCAGTCTCTGAGGGAGGGAGGGAGTGGCTTTATCGTTAGCATCTCTGCATTCCTGCCTGGATGGCTATACTTCTTGGGGGAAATGGCCTGGGTATTTCTGAACACAAGTGCACAAGGAACCCCAGCATCCTCCGTGATACCCTATTCCTATCAGGCATGCAGAACCCTGTCTCCTTGTCACACTTGGCTTTTGCCAACGGGCAGAGAGAATCGGGGTTAGGCCCTGCCTGGCAACAGCCACACATGTCTCTGTATCCCCACACCTGGTTTACACAAAGATGGTTTTGGGGCCCACTGACCCATGGTGTCACATCCCTTTGTCCCAGGCTCTCTAAGGCCCTTTAGCTTGTTTCTGCTGCCATCTACTGTCCACCTAGGGAAAGTCGAGGTTTGCTAGCTGGGGAGGGAAGTTGGGAATTGCAGACTTTGCAACTTCTGCTCCTACAAAAGGAAAAAAACAAAACCTGCCAGCTGGTGGTGTCCCCAGTGAAAACACTGTCATAAAACTTGTGTTTACTGACCTCCCAAGTTTGAAAGCAGTTCCTTTTGAATTGTAATCAAACCACCAAGTGACCTTTCTGCCCCTGGGCCTCAGAGTCCTTAAAAGGGCCCATTGTTCCCTGCTTGAGTGAAGAAACCTTCTGTTTAGTTTAGCAAGTGTTCTTGTAGTTATGTTTCCTGCTGAGTGACAGAAGGACAGTTATTGGGTTTTGGGTTTATTGCTGGTTTGGGGTTTCCTACCGACACCCTCCCTGCCCCACAGCCCTCAACTCTTCTTTATTTTCATATCAGGAAAGGAGATGGGTTCCTTCACACGGCCTCGGCCTCGCACCTTCTATTCTGACACACTAATCTGCAGATCCTGGTAGAAGCCCCTTCTCTTTGTCCCAAGCTACCAAGCTCAAGATGTAAGACCCTTGCAGACTGGCAGAGGCATCCACAGAAACAGACCACAGGAGCTGAGTGAGAGGCAGTGACATGTGATATGTTCCTGTGATTGGTATGTTCATGTGATGTGTTTTCCTGTCTTACAGCTGTTTGTTGGGCTGGGATTCCCTTATGAGGGCCCAGCTCCCCTGGAGGCCATTGCAAATGGATGTGCTTTCCTGAACCCCAAGTTCAGCCCTCCCAAAAGCAGCAAAAACACAGACTTCTTCATTGGCAAGCCGACACTGAGAGAGGTGAGTCTCAAGAGTATTCTACTTCCTTCGATGCTGCCATCTACCGTGTGTTTATGTGTGGGTGGGTGGCATGTGCAGGTATGCACATGTGTGCAGGCATGTTTGTAGAGGCCAGAGGGTAGAGTGTGGCCCTTCGTCCCCTCTTCACTTTATTCTGAGGCAGAGTCTTCCACTGAACTCAGAGCTCACTGATGTGACTACCCCAGCTTGCTCTGGGGTCCCCTGACTCACCTCTTAGGCTGCCATACCCACCCAGCTTCTTCGATATATGCTGAGGATTCGCGCTCAGGTCCTCGTGTTTACACAGCAAGCTCCTGTCTTCTAAGCCAACTGTCCAGCCCCTGCTCCAACTCTACTTTTTAATAACTGTGGTGGGTGGTTCTTTCTAGTCTTCTGATCACAGCTGACAGCTGGGATGAGGAGGCCACAATGGATCCCTGGGCTTCACTGTCCAGCCAGCCTAGTTTTCTTGGTGAGTTCCAAACTGATGAAAGACTATGTCTCAAAAAACAAAAAAATAAAAAACAATAACCAAGGGAGACAGTGCCTGAACAACACCTCTTGCACGTGTGTGCACATGCATACACACGCATACACACACACAGCATCAGCCCCATCAGCCCCTAGAGATATGACATCATAGTTGATTGCAGGGATGCTCTGAGTTTTTAGCCCACCCTCAGCAGGCACCATGCTGTCAAGCCATCCCCTCATTGCTCCCGCCTGCCGCAGGAGTCTTGTTCCATTTGCCTCTGCAGATGAAACCTGCAGTGGGTGATGCATCACCACAGAGCATGGCTGGAATTCACTCGGAGTGGTAAACAGAAGTCATTTACGGCTCAGTGTGGGTGATCAGTGCGGCTAAGGTGGGAGGAGTCTGTGTCTGGGCAGACACAGGTGTGTGCAAGAAACCATGAGATTGGCTTCCGTGTTGTTTCTGGGCAGTCAGTGACTCTGCTGGCCGCTCATGCGTGGGAACATTAAGGAAGGATCCCTCGGGGCCTTTGGCTGGGGAATCACAGTGGTAGAAAAGCCTAGGGTGACACAGCAGCAACTGTTTCTAGAACATTCATTTCTCAGTTCTGTTGCTTTTAAAGTCTTTGGGACACTTTCCTGAACTTCTCTCCCACTGTGTGTCAAGGCCTTTCTTCCTCCCCCCCCCTCCTCCTCGTTTGTTCTTTTGAAGTCTCTATGAAATGTCTATTTAAATACATTGCCCCTGTTTGTCTTTAGAGACAAGGTCTCTCTGTGTATCCCTGGCCATCCTGGAACTCACTCTGCAGACCAGGCTGGCCTCAAACAAACAGAGATCCAGCTGCCTCTGCCTCCGGAGTGCTGGGATTAGAGGCGTGTGCCACCACCACCTAATACTTTGCCTATTTTTAAGTGGGTCTTGTTGAAGGTTTTTTGCTTTTGAGTGGTAGAGGTTCCTTAGATCTTTAGGATATAAATCCTTTATCAGACATAATTTGGAAATACTTTCTCTTGTTTTATTTGTTGGTGACTTCTCTTGATGTGTAAGCACTTTAAAAGTTGGAACTATGGAAACAGCTTCAGTAAGTAACATACCTTCCACACAAGCAGGAGGACACATGTTTAGTCCCTAGAACACATGTTTAAAAACAAAAACATCCTAGTAGCACTCACTTGTAATCCTAGAATACACACACACACACACACACATATATACACACACACACACACACACACAAAGAAGACACTCGTAAACACATTCTACCCCATGCCTAGGGAATGATGTCACGTGCTCACATCAGCCAGTATTGAGGAGGTGCCCACTGTCCCCTGCCATTTGCCACCATCTAATCATGTGATGGTGCTGAAGTTGGGAAGGGCACTCGTTCTCAGTGGCATAAGGAGAGAAGAGACCTTGAAGCACCTGCAAGGGATGATTCTGTCAGCCCTTAAATGGGACCGTGAGAGAAAGGGTGTGGAGACCTGTCATCAGTGACTCCTCATGTGACCTCATCCAGACAACTCTCTAAGCCCAGTATTCCCCCAGGAGGCCAAGATGCCGGAGGCAGTGGACAGAAGCTAAGCCCATCCACACAACAGCCTGTGGTACTAGCTGCCATCCTGGGGGAGTTTAGCAGAGTGTTTCCCATGTATCTGATACGGAAGCATGCAAAGACAGCTGCACCATCATATAATGTATAGAGATAGCAGAGTGGGGTTTGGGTTGTGGTTGTGGCCTGGTTGGTACAGCACTTGCCTGGCATGCAGAAACCCTGGGTTCTGTGTCCAGCACCACATGGAATAGGTATGGTGGCTCACAGCTGTAATACTTGCACTTTGCAAGTGGAGGCAGGAAAGCAAGAAGTTTGAAGTCATCATCAGCTACATAGCAAGTTCAAGGCCAACCTGAAATACTTGAGACCGAAATAAAAGCTAAGTGGATGAAAGAGGGGAGTTACCTTGGAGTTGTACAAAGGAAGAATGTTCAGTGTTAACGGATTGGGGTGGGCTTTAAGTAGAAAGGAGAAGAAGAGACTTGTAGAGGGATGAGCAAGGGAGAGCCAAGGTTAGTTTGCCTCGTGCAGGAGAGGAACATCTAACAGCTTTGAGAGGGAGTGGTGGCCTTGATCTCATGGCAAAAAGAGCCATATGCCCTGCTTTCACAGCTCTCAGAAGCCTAACGTCTCCCTGACCAAGGATGCTTTTAACTGGGAAAGAGCTGTCAACAGGTCTACAGATCTCTTAATCTAAAAACCTCTGAGCAACGGTTCTCAACCTATGGGCTCGACCCCCCACAGGGTCACATATTCTGCATATCAGATATTTATATTATGATTCCTAACAGTAGCAAAATTACAGTTACACCATAGCAATGAAATCATTTTATAAAGGGGGGGGGAGTCACCACAACATAAGGAACTATATTAAAGGGTTGCAGCATTAGGAAGGTTGAGGACCACTGCTCTGGAGGGCGCTAGGGAGATGCTCAGTAGTTGAAGCACTTGTGGCTGATGCAGATGACTGGAATTCATTTCCCAGCCCCTATGTCTAGTGGCTCATCAACACTGTAACTCCAGTTCCAGGGGATCCATGCCTTCTCTAGCCTCTTTAGGTACCAGTTATGTATACTCAGTACACATACATACATGCAGGCACTCACACGTATAGGATGGATAGACAGATGATAGATGTAGAGAAATTCAGACATGGTGGCATGTGCCACCAGCATGGGGAGGCAGACAGGATCCCTGGAACTTACTGGCCATGGAATTGGTAAGCTCCAGGTTCATTGAGACATCCTGAAATGGAGATTAAGCAAGAAAGTTCTCTCTCTCTCTCTCTCTCTCACACACACACACACACACAGACAGAGAGACAGAGACCCTCAGAAATGATCTCTCTTACCTCAGCAACTGGAAAAGTTTAACCCAAGTCACATAGTACAATACTGTCTTTATGTACATTAGACCCTTCTGTTAAACTACCCTCCACACACAAACATTGGTCAAGGGCAGTTGTCTCTATTTCTCTTAACCTTCACTTGAAGAAAAGGGAAGAGACTGAGTTTTCTAAATTTGAGTTTAGCTTTATTTTTATTTTTATTTTTGCATCAGACTAAATTTTCAGAGTGCATTGTCTACTCAGAGCAGGGAAGAAAAGCCACAGAATGACTTGAGGAATGGAGCTGCTTCATTATACTTTGATGTAAATTAGATTTTTATCTTTATATTGGGGACCATATTAATAGGTTCCTGTAAAGAGAGAGTGGAATCTCCTTGGAGGTACTATAGCGGTTCTGAAGTCGCCTCTCGTATTTCCCAAGATGCTGCTTGTCCAGAGGATGCCCCAGTAAATCTCCTGACAGATACACACTCAAGTGGCTGAGATCAGACAGACCTCAATAAATTAACAAGGAGGAACACAGAGTTCTGAGAGGGCTAATGAATCAAAAATGCCTCACTCATAAAATTAAGTAACCCTCAGCAAATGCAAATGAATAAAACAGTAATGGCTCCGTATTGTATGTTTGCTAAGTGCTTAGGGCAGCCTTGTAAATAAGCAGGGGCCTTAAAGGGGGGGCTGTACTACTATGTAAATGACTCAATGGTGACATAGCTGGCAGTTGAAATTTTAGCAGTTGATGGACTAATTAGCTTGCTCTCAAGGCCACAAAGCAGAAATGATGTGACAGTCTGCCCATTCTCTCAAAAGGTCTAATATGGCATAATTGCAGCCCTGGGATGTGCACACACACACACACACACACACACACACACACACACACACACACACACACAAATGTATGTATATAAATTTTAGGAATGATTTTTAAGGCATCTTGTCTGTGAAGCCTGATAAGTAATATGTGAGTTAGGGATTAGCCCGCTGTCCCAACCAAAGACCTTGTGGATTGGTATTGAATCAAAATATTTTATAAAGAGATGATTTTTTTTTGACAAATAAGGTTTCCACAGCTCTGTGGGCCTGCAAACTCTCCAGCACTGACCACAGAGCCTGAAAAACGAGGGCTGTGGGAGCATGCACAGAAAAACCAAGAAAGGCTGTCGCCTCGGTACTGCAAGGTTTTGTAATTTCCTGGAGGCTTTCCCAGGGTCTTGTGCTCCTAGCTTCCTGCCCCAAACAGGCCTTGCCGTGCCTGGTGAGAGGAGGTACCCAGGGCAGTGATGAAGAGATGGCGGGCGCTAATCTGCTTTGTAGTCTCTAAGGGTCTGTGTACTTATGGGATTGAGGAAAAGGGGGAAAGCAAGAGAGCCAGGCCGGCCTGGGAAGCAAAAGTGACAGCAAATCCGTTAGGATACATTTTCCAGCTGTGACGATTGGTCAGCGGGTAAGAGCGCTTGCTGATAGACACTTACTTTCCCTGGGCTTGGATCCTGAGCACCAACCTACAGGCTGAGCATCGCCTCCGGCACGTGCAAAAGCTATCCTGGGCAGTGGGGACCAGTGATCACTGGGGCTTGCTGGTCTGCCAGTCTAGCTAAAAGCAGTGAGCACAGGTTCAATGAGAGATGAGTAAGGCAGAGAACAGCACAGCCAGGCACCAAGTGACTTCCCCTGGCCTCCGCACATGCACGAGGGCTTGGACATACATTGCCCATGCAGACACATACAGTTAATGAGTGCCTGAGTGAATGAACTAATAAATTAATAAATAAAGAATAAACAGAACTTATTTTCTCTCCAGAAGTGAAACTGGCAAGTAATAGAACTTGTAAATATTTTTTAATTTATAATATGTAAAAAATATGTAAAAAGTAATTTTTAGAAAAAAGAATAGGTATTTCATTCAGTATTATGTACTGAAAATTATTGTAGAAGATGGGCTGTCTGCTTCCTCCTGACAATGAACAGTTGTATTTAAAGGGGAGGAAACATTCAGCTAATCTCTGCCAGCCTTGTTTTCTTATGTTTGACTTTATGAAAAGAGAGCTGAGTATAATCTGTGTCCATATCACACACACATACACAGCTGTCGTTAATGTGACATCTGCCCATGGAGGCATGTTTTACTGGAGGATAATGCCCAGAGTGACATTGATGTTGCTGTGACATTTTTCTGAGATGGTGACTGTTCATGGATATGAAGTCTTGAATAAACCAGGAGAAGGCACAGGGAGTGTCTGCCCCTCATGCAGGAGGCACTGGGTTCCTTCCCCCGCACTGTGTAAACCAAGCTCGTCATGCCAGCCATCTGGAGGTGGAGGTAGGAAGATCAGAAGGCCAAGGTCATCTTCATCGACCTGATGAGTTAGAAGCTGCAGCCAGGACTACATAGATTTTTATCTTTAAAAAAAAAGACTTTTTTTTTTTGCTATATATGGTGTGCACTGTTATTATAGTCCTGGACAATTCAGTGTGCACTCAGATGGCCTCTAAGAATTCTTTTCCATGGATCCACATGAACTCCCAGGAAGACATGTACAAGCTGTCTGGGCTGGTGATGTAGTGGATGGTAAAAAAAAATATGTGTAATATATTCAGTCTCAATCAATTAGCTAATTAATTAATGTTCCTTGAGAAACGACAAGTCGTCCTTGTGCACAGCTGTCCTGCTGTTATCACTATATATCCCTGGTCGTCACCTGCAGTTTTTCCACAAACGTGGAAACCCACTACCTTAAAGAAGACTCCAGGAAGAAAAGAGCAAGAGTAGACCTTGGAAGAGCTCAGAGTAGCCCAGATATGTGCTTGTGCATGCTTGGTTTCTTTGGCTACACACTTTTTTTTCTTTTTTTACACAAGGCCTCACGTCGCACAGACTGCAGACTGGCTTCAAACACACTGTAGATAAGGATGACTCCTGCGTTCACCTCCTGAGCGCTGGGATGGCAGGCATGCACCAGCACACCTGGTTTTACATAGTTCTGGAATGAAACCCAGGACGGGGGACGGGGGACGGGGGTGGAGCGTGGCAGGCACTCCACCATCTCCCCAGCCTCCTTTAACCACATTTCTCCTATATTTATTCTTTAAGGCGGGAGCACCCATGTGCCACAGTAGGAGGGAGTGTGCATGCGCACAGCGCACTGTAGAGGTCAGAGAACGGACCTAGTCCTCCCCTGCTGCCATGTGGGATTAAAATCAGGTCATCATCAGTCCTGACCCAAGTGCCTTACCTACAGAGCTATCTCGTCTGTCCTGGCCACTGGGATCTTAAAAGCTTCAGGGGGGGAAATTCATTCCTTACTTTTCTGATTCTAACCTGTCTTTATAAATTTTATGTTCTGGAACTGGAGGGATGGCTCAGTGGTTAGGAACACGTACTGCTTTTATAGAGGATTGGCGTTTGGTTCCTGGCACCCAGGTCAAGCAGCTCATAACTAACTGCCTATATCTGCAATTCTAGGGATCTTGAAACTTTTTCTGGTTTTGGTAGGTAACTGTCTGCACCTGTGCATACACACACATAGATGTGCCCATACACAGACATTTTAAAATCAATAAACTTCATGTTCTGGCATCGCTGTGATTATTTCTGAAACTATTTGAAAACTTCTGAGTTCTTCTAGTGACGTAATTTCCCCTACTGTCACCCCTATATGCACTATTACTCGTGTCTGTGTGACTTTCCAGCATCTGCTTGTTTGCTTGCTTGCTTGAAACTGGGTTTAACTGTAGTCCCAGACTGGCCTGGAATTTGTGCTTTCCTATGTCTATCTAGAAATCACAGGCATGCCTGGCTTATGGCTTTGGTCTTTATTGTGATTTTCTGTGATGACCTGTCCATCCTAGCCTGTAGAATAGATACTGAGTTAATGGAGGTAATTTTGGCTGAGAATAAGTAGTCCTTAAGAGCCCAGGATAACTACTACAGGGGTCCATTAGCTATGTCCCTCGTTGCTGTGACACGGTGACTGACAAAAGGCAGCTTAAGGAAGGAAGAATTGCTTTGGCTCAAATTTCAGGGGTACAGTCCCTCTCGGTAGGGAAGGCACGGCAGCAGGAGCAGGAGGCAGCTGGTCACGTGGCACCCACAGGAAGCAGGGAGATGGATGCTGGTACTCAGCTCACTTTCTCCTTTATTCGGTCCAGGACCTTGGCCCATTGAATGGTGCTGTCCACATTTGGGTGGCTTCATCCCACCTGAATCAACATGATCTAGAGACTCCCTTACCGACACGCCCAGAGGTTAGATCCTGAAAGGCCCGGCTTAGTGACAGGGCAACACCTGTTTACAGAGGCCTGAGTTCAAGCCAGCACCACCTGCAGGAGCCTCTTTGTTATGACATTGCTTTGTTTCCAATGAGCTTCAAAAAGCTCCACCCATCACTATTTTTCATCCACCTGTTCTTAGTTGAGAAGGTTTTGATGGCTACAGGAAGAACAAGAACGCCTTAGCTCCTGTTTAAGTCCAGCTGGTAAAGATGGAGCGCTTCTGTCTAGCCCAGAGCTTTGTCTGAGCAGTCCTGCCTGTGTGAGATTAAGATACAGTGTACCTTCTGTCTTCCAGCTGACGTCTCAGCACCCTTACGCAGAAGTCTTCATCGGCCGGCCACACGTCTGGACCGTGGATCTGAACAATCGTGAGGAAGTGGAGGACGCGGTGAAAGCCATCTTAAACCAGAAGGTTGCTGCTCTTGTTTCTGTTTTTGTTTCCCTGCCTGCCCGTATGAGACCTGGGGCCTGGGACCCATGCAGAATGTTGCAGTCCCTTTCGCTTAGTCAACAGAGCTTGTGTCATGTATTGGACTCAGACCATAACCTAGCATCTAGCCTGAGGATTTCAAGGAGGCTCTGTGATATACAAAACAGCTGGTGGCAGATGTGGGTCTGGGTCTTACAGACCTTGCTGATGGGCCTTCTGTGTTCCTGGGTAGCAGACATGAAGGGATTGGCTTGACTCATACTTACTCACGTGATCTTACCATGTCATTGGAGAGACAGGCTAGATTGGATTGTTTATGTTACCTTATACAATGGGTAAAGTTGATCAAGTTATTTTGGGTGTGTGTGTGTGTGTGTGTGTGTGTGTGTACATGTTCCTGTGGGCATGGGGGCATTATACATGCATTCACATGCATGTGTCTTCTCTGTGGCACTCCACTTGGTTATTTTTCTTGAGACATAGTCTTTCACTAAACCAAAGCTCATTGAGTTGGCCTGGCAGGCTGGCCAGTGAGCCCAGGGAATCACCTGTCTACACCTCCAGCACCAAGATTGCAGACATGCCCCACCCCACCCCGTTTTCACAGGGATGCTGTAGATCTGAACTCGGTTCTCGTGCTTACACAGCAAGCAGCCCGAGCTGCTGTTTATTTTTTCTACCCAAACATGAGGTAGAATCTTGCTAAAGTAGCCACTCTAGACCTTTCAGATCAATTCAGTAAACACTGATTAAGCACCTGTTGTATACAGGGCACCCTCTAAGCCATTCTGGGAAGACAAGGGCTGTCTACCTTAGATGATGCTGGCCGCCACATGGGAAGTCTACCATCCCGTAGGACTTTAGTTTGCCCAGGACAGCTGTTGAAGCTCTGAGGCACAGCCTGCCCTTTACTTCTCCTCTCAAGCACCTTTCCCTTGGGTCATTGCTGTTGGTGTATGTGTGCTGTGAGGAGACAGGTAAGTGCAGGCTCAAGAAGGAACTGCCAAAGGTGATTCTTTGTCCTGTCACCCACAACGCCGTTGGATGGATGGCTGGTGACCTTCGTGTCAGTCAATGCTGTGCGGCAGAGCCCAGCGCCATCTTTCCTATCCTTCTCTCAGATGTCTCCGCAGCCATCAGAATGCCTCCCTCCCTCACCCAGTGACCTTCTGGGGTTTCCTGTCCCTTCCACAGATAGTGTAAGCCCATGTATAGGAATCACGAGGCTTTTGTGCTGCTGTGAATCCCTTTGTACCTTGTCTCCCAGCTCCCAGTCCCGTGTCTTTTCACGCCATAGTTCACACTCTGGCTAAGGGATACACCTCAGTTGGAAGAATACTTGTCTATCATGAATGATGTCCTGGGTTCCATCCCCAGTACCAAATAGCCCAGATGCGGTAGCAATGTCTGATTCCTGCACTCAGGAGATGGAGACAGGAAGATCGGAAGTTCAAGGTCACCTCACCTATGTAGCAAGGCCTACGCTATGTTAAACATTGTCCCCAAGGGCTGGGAGGAGCCTCTGCCCACCCAGGGCCTCTAGCTGAGTTCCTCAGTTTAGCTTGTCACCCCTTGTCTTTGCAACAGGAGTTCTTTGGATGCATTCTCACCTCAGCCATTTCTCCATGCCTTAGAGTAGTGACCATGTATTCATTCACCAGATGTTGGCTAAATCCCTGCCCGCAATGCAACTGCCTAGCCTTGAGAGGCTGGTGAACCACAGCTATTGTCTTTGCTCCGCATGCCTACCTGCTAGCGTGTGACAATATCCAGGCCTACTGTGTACTTTACACTATCCGAGCAGTTTCCCACCATGCGCCCTCACCACAGCTTAACACAGATGGGTTGATTTTTTTTTCTTGCCACTTAGGAGGGAAGGTAGATTGTCCAGGGCCTAGAGCCCTGTCTGTCCAGTTCCGGGTATGTAGCTTTAACACCTGCCAAGGCTCCCGCTCAGGTGTGGGCATGTGTTCAAGTCAGTGGAGAATCAGTAAGTGCTCCTGCCCCGTGGCCCCTTTCACAGTGCCCTCCTGTTTCTGCAGATTGAGCCGTATATGCCGTATGAGTTCACGTGTGAAGGGATGCTGCAGAGAATCAACGCGTTCATAGAGAAGCAGGTAAGGCCCATCAGAAGTCTGTCTGTCTGTCTGTCTTTGCCGTGCCCCCCTTTCTGTTTCCCAGCTCTCACTTGGTGCGCTTCTGTGGTTATTTGCCTGCTTTGGAAAGCTTCAGGTGGCTCCATGATGACTTATTGTCATTTTTAAATGTCTCACTGTCATGGGCTGCCAAGGCAGCTAGTCTTCCTTGGAGTATGCCCTTTGTGACAACAAAAGGTCATATGGACACTGAGAATAAGACATTTGACCACTGGCTTGTACTCTGAGCAGATGCAGAAAACCTTGAAGACTCAGGAAGGATGAAGAGCAGACAAGTGTCTCTTTTTACCCTTCATTTCTCACCCCTTACTTGTAACCCTCCCCCAAAAAAGCAAGGATTAGGATCTGGAAAGATAGCCTGGTCAGTGAAGTGCTTGCCTTGCAAGTGTGAGGATCTGAGTTGAGCCCCAGAAACCACATTTTAAAAGCCAGACATGAATCACATACTTGTAATCTCAGCAAGGAAGTGAAGAGAGGCAACCCTTGGGGTTCACTGACCAACCAGCCTATAAGAGTTGGGAAGCTCCAGGCCAGTGAGAGACAACCTTAAAAACAAGGTGGCCAGAGCTGAGTAATGGCATCTGACATTGTCCTGTGGCCTCCATATGCACACCTGTATGTTTCCACACACACATGAATACTCACACACAAGTGCAGGGATCAAACCTGCTCTTTCCAAGCACTTGAAGAGTACAAATGCAGCCACTCTAAACGTGTTGGTATTCTCGAGTGGTTTTCAAACTGGGCCTCCTTTCAAAAGAAACCTTCTGTGAAACCCGGGCATGTGCTCTCAAAGGTGAAGAGTACAACTGTCATTGTGATCCTTTGTGATGTTTTAATTCCTTGGGCTTCAAAAGCAACCCAGACCCAGAAATAGACACAGCCAGGACCCCCGTGGTAAGGGAATCTGAACTTCTTGTCCAGTCCAGAAATAGGAGGTTCTCTTTATAGGTCAAACCAATGTTGAAGGATGAACAAGGGACCTTTGCACAATGGGGATAAGAGCTTTAGAGCTGAAAATAGAAATGGTAGAGTCAAAACTTAAACATAGGCTACCATCCCTGGACATTTCTAAGGGGAAGCTGGGCCTCTGGGGCTTGGGCCCAGAGTATCTTGTCAGCTGGGCTGTGGAAGACCAGTTAGGTAACAGGAGATGGGTGACTTGACATGCATGTGTGTGCAGGTGCATGTGCACGTGTTTGCAAATGTGTGTGCACATGTATGTGTGTGCATGCACATTTCTGTATGCAGTGCACATGGCGTGTGTACACACATATCTGTAGAAAGCAAAGGATTACCTGAGGTGTCATACCTTAGGTGCTGATCACCCTTTTCTTTGAAGTAGGGTCTCCCACTGGCCTGCAACTCACCAAGTAGGCTAGACTGGCTGTCCTAGGCATGTGCTTGTGTCCATAATCCCAGTGCTGGGATTACAAACACTGACCACCAAGTCTAGCCTTTCCCTTGAACTTGGGTCCTCATGTTTGCACAACGTTTTCAGCAGCTGAGTCATCTCCGAGGTCCAGCCACCTGGGTCCAACTCCCAGTGCCATGAGTTTTTGTTTCTAAGAGTTGGGCATTTAACTAAGGTTCTCTGTACCTTAGTTTAAAAAAAAAGTTCATGGGAGCATTGTATGAGCCAGTACCCAGGAAGCACTAAAAACAAGCATGACACCGTACTTAGGAGGAGCAGGTTCGCCAGTACTGCTCAACACGCCATGCTCTATTGTGGTATACTGTAATGTATACTGTATAATGTAATTATACACAGGGGGCACTCAGCATTTGTCATTATCCCATCCAGTCTTGCCAGGACACAGAAAGGATAGCACTGTCATAACTCTGGCACATTCTGTGTCAGTGTGTACTCACACGTGCAGTACACCGCCCTCCCCATCCATGGATTCTCTTTCCAAGGGTTTGCTTTCCCACATCAGGATCCCAGAATACTAAGTAGAAAATATCAGTTCAGTACAAGAAAATGTTTTGCAAGTGGAAGAAACTCTTCTCATGTTTACTGCAGTAGACTGTTCTAATGTTCTGCTTTAGTTTTAGTTATTGGTCTCCTGTTGTGTCTAATTAAGCTTCATCATAGGTGTATCGACAAGTCGGCGCATAAGGATTTGGTACTATGCACAGTTGCAGGCATCCACTGCTGGTACAGGCTGTGTTAGTTACTTTTCTCATTGCGGTGACAAAATACCTTTCAAGAGCAACTAAATGGAGGAAGGTTTTATTTTGGTTCGCAGCTCGGGGGTATGGTTTGTTGTGGTGGGGTGGGTAGACAGGGGCATGAAACAGCTGGTCACATGACATCCACAGTCAGGAAGCAGAGCAATGGACACTGGTGCTCAATTCACTTTCTCCTTTTTATTCGGTCTACCCATATTTAAGGGTGGGCTTTTTCACTTCACTTTGCCCAGTCTAGAAACTCTCTCACAGACATGCCCGGAAGTTTGTCTTCTAGGTGAGTCTAGATCCTACTAAGTTGACAGTGTTGACCATCACAGAGTCTGTGTACTCTCTCAGTCCACGCAGTAAGGCTCAGGATGTGTCAGCGACCGCATAGTGGGAACTGAGACACACAGTCGGGATTTGTTGAAGATTTGGTGTAAAGCCATGTTAGTGCCATACATTTGCCAGGATTGCACATGTCCCATGGCTTGGCTTCCCCAGTGCTGGCATTATACACATGTGCTTTTTAAAGTGGGCTCTGGTGACCAGACTCAGACTCTCGTGCTTGGAAGGCATGCACTTCACTGAGTGAACCATCTCTGGGCATTTCTTATAAGACATCCTCCTAACTTCTCATACATGAGCAATAATGGGGGCTGTTTTTAGTTTATCTCAGGAACTCTTTCAGACCCAAGGTCTTCCCTTGGTGCGCGATAGAATCCATGACCCCTTTGGATCAGATCAAGTCTCCTGTTAGCTGCAAGCCTTACCTCTTAGAGCTTGGAACATTCATTATTTTTTTGTAGTTTCCAGAGTATCTTCAAAGAGCAGCAAGGGTGGACAGAGTGTGCTCCTGGCAGGGGTAGGAAGCCTGGAGCTTGGAGGAAAAGATTCCCGCACCTGGAACTGCAGCCTTCATTAGTCAGGGCTCAGCTTCCAGAGTCCTCCATGTAAGCTACACGAAACATGGGCACTTTTATCCCAGAACTCTTTCAAGAGTGTGCCCCTCCCCACACACACACACACTCCCGACAGCTGCAGGAAGCAGATGAGTCTAAACTGACAACCTTTAAGATCACCCCAGGTTTCAGGGTACAGTTTAAGAGTCACTGCTGGGAGCCTACCTCGCACCCAGCCAGCTGGGATACATGCCCTCTCCCCACAGGAGGAAGCTGGGTCCAGGAAATACTCGCTCTTCTCCACCAATGCCCTGGCCACTGCACTGAGACAGTTGTGGTGGCTTGCTGTCTGTGAAATGAACACTCTGAAGGACTGGCCCCAGTTGATGAGGAGTTAGCATGAGAGTAAAAATCCCCAGTGATGGAAGGTCGGTTGTGACTATTCCCCGTCCGAGTGTGTCAGGGCTTGTGAAGGTTCCCATTCTGTGTTGTTTTGGGGGGAAGTTAGGGATTTACCTCCAGAAGAAAGAAAGCAGCTGGAGAAGGGAAACAGGTCATTTTCTGCTTTTTATAAAGATCTTCCAGTATACAGAATGTGGCCAGAGCCCTGGCTCATTTGGTAAAAACTCCTGATGCCAAACTTGGCAACCTGAGTTTGATCCCTAAGACCCAACTAGTGGAAGGAGATAATAGACTTCCACAGATGTACTGTGGCACATGCACCCACACACATACAATTGGATGTACACAAAATAAATGAAACTAACTTTAAAAAATTGTTTAAATACGCATACAGGGTGATCAGTTGCAGTCACGTTGTTGTTTGGTTTGAGACAGCATCTCATGTATCTCAGGCTGCCCTTGAACTTGTTATGTGGACAAGGGTGACTTTGAACTCCTGGTCTTCCTGTGTTTTCATAAATGGTGGGATTGCAGGTGTGTACCACCATGCCCCATTTATTCATCCGTAGGATGGAATCCAGAGCTTTGTGCATGTTGGCAGGTTCTGTACCGGCTCACCCCCATCCCATAATGCTTTTGGTAAGAACTGTTTGCAAAGAAAAGGCATTGCAAAGAGGTAAAGTAGGACACTGACTTGAAACAGATAAAATTGCTGGCCACCCAGCCTCCCTGTTCCCTACTGTGTTGGTAATAGCAAGCAGGGCTGGCCTGAGTTCACAGCCTGCATCAGGCTATCTACCATTTCTGCTTTTCTCTGCAACAGTGCCAATGCTACCCTACCCACTGTGCAGGGTCGGCGAATCCGCGTTCAAGGCCAAGCTATGTGTCTGACCCAGGCAGCCCTTCTTTTGCTGGGAGCCCAGAAACCAATGTCCAGCCCTCGAGAGGCTCAAGCAAGAGGCTCCTGTGTTTGGAGCCAGCTGTACTGCACAAGACACCCTGTGTCACTACAAACAAAAGAAAAAAGGAAAGTCTGGGAATCTTTTGTTCAAAATGTTCCTTACAAAGCACAAAGCATGTAAGTGTTCCTAAATGATCAATAAAAGCATTGTTTTCAATTCATAGACGTAATTTATAAAACATGAAACCCAATCCAGGGCCAGCAAGATGGCTCAGTAAGTAAAAGTGCTTGCTTTTGAGCCCAACTACCTGTCTTGGTTAGGGTTTCTATTGCTGCATTGAAACACCAGGACCAAAAAGCAATTTGGGGAGGAAAGGGTTTATCTGGCTTACACTTCCACATCATAGCCCATCATCCATCGAGGGAAGCTAGGACAGGAACTCAAACAGGCAGGAACCTGGATGTAGACGCCATGAAGTATGCTGCTTACTGGCTTGTTCCCTGTGGCTTGCTCAGCCTGCTTTCTTATAGAAATCAGGACCAGCAGCCTAAGCATGGCACCACTACCACAGCCTGGTCCCTCC